CAGGATGGGCTCCATTCAGACCTCCCTCCAGCCTTGAAGGCTTCATAGAGGCGAGAGGTGGGTTGAAAGGAGCAGAAGGAAAGGTGGGAGGGACAGGAAGGGCTAGGCTGTCGATGGGGTAGCTGCAGTGATCCCAGACTTGTCCTGGCCTGCTCTCTAGAGTGCTGAAAGCTCCTGGACCGTGTGGAGGCACCTAGGTCCCTAGCCATTCCTCAACCCAAGGGTCTCCCTGTGGAAGCAGGGTGGGTAAGTGAGCAAGAAAGCCTGACACTGACCGGCCACAGACCTCTGCAGAGAAGTGGGTGTGGGTGGGTGTGCGCACACACGTCTGTCTGCGGATCTGTGTGTCTGTCTATGTCTATATGTGAGTATGTGTTTAAGGATGGTCTGCCTGTCTGTCTGTCCCACTGTCCTCTGCTGCCCAGCGAAGCCTAGCCAAATATATGTGTTGCTGCTCCTTTGACTGTCTCTACTTCTGGTCTTCTCTGCTGAGGCATTCTGTAAGGGACAAATAGACTTGAGAGTAGATAGCCTGGGGAAGAGAGATGGTATCTGAAGGCCAGATAAGGGACAGAGAGGGTTAAGAGGGAGCTGGACTGGGTGTGGTGGTGTACACTTTTAATTCTAGCGCCTGGGAGGCAGAGACAGGTGGATCTCTTTAAGTACATGGTCAGCCTGGCCTACATCGTGAGTTCCAGGCCAGGCAGAGCTACACAGAGAGACCCAGTCTCAAGAAAAACATGGTGCAGGCACGTGCCTTGGGTGGGGGTAAACAGAGTGATTATGGAAAGAAATTTGTAGCTCGGAGGCAGCAGAAATGGGGTACTGGTGATGTATGAGGCAGGAAGAGCAGATAAGCGAGGTGTCATCAAAGATGGGGGGGGGTGTGGTGGCAACTCTAGAGCAGAGGGAGGCAAACCAAGCCAGTCACATGATCTGGCTGCAGAAGCTACAGGTGGGGTGGTTGGGGACTGGAGGTCTAGGCTTTTCATTTGTTCTGCTGAAGCTAATCCCGGGCTTGCACACCTGTCTCTCCCAGCCGAGTGTAGAGTCCTGTCCAGTCTTTGTAGATCTTTAGGTTGGGCTGGAATGCTTTCTGTATCCTGTTTATTGGTGGAAGGGGGCCTTAGATCTGAGGTGTGGGTGTGTATATACAGATGCACAGAGTCTCTCTTTGAAGTCCCCTGGCCCCTTCCAAAAGAAACCTTTGATGGAAATGTCTGAACTGGATCAGAACCTGTTGCCAGGCAAGCATGTTAGCCACCTCCAGAAAGGCTCCCCTGCCTTGTTACACGGCTTTCCAAGTCTTGTCCTTTCTCTTCTCTGAGTCCTGCACCCCATGCTCTCCCGGAACTCCACTCTGTAGACCAGACCTACCTGCCTCTGCCTCTTGAGTGCTGGGATTAAAGGCTCCCAAGCCATGCTTCTCAATTCCTTGTCTGAAGTGGAATTTGAGAAACTCTACTTCTGAGTTTCTGAAGTCTAATTGGTCAATGGAAGGCAGGCGATACAAGGTAATAAAAATAGCTGGGCTGCCTGGTGGTGGTGGTAAACATCTTTAGTTATAGAGCCTGGGAGGCAGAGGCAGGCCGATGTCTGTGAGTTTGAGGACAGTCTGGTTCCAGGATAGCCAGGCTATACAAAAACAAAAACAAAACAAAAAAAAACCCTGTCTTGAAAAACAAAAACAAAAACAAACAAATAGCTGGGCTGGGGTTTAGACAAAGGAAGGCAGAGATACAAAGTAATAAAAATAGTTTGGCTGGACTTGGGATTCATTTGGTGGAGTGTTTCTTTGCAGGAGGCCCCTGGGCCCCTAGCATGACCTATAAACGAGTGTTCAAAACATTCTTGGCCGCCCATGAGTTCAATGCCAAACTACATGAAACTGTCAAAAATAACAAACAGCCAGGCATTAGTGGCGCACACCTTTAATACCAGCACTCGGGAGGCGGAGGCAGGCAAATTTCTGTGAATTCGAGGCCAGCCTGGTCTACAGAGCCAGTTCCAGGACAGCCTCCAAAACAATACAGAGAAACCCAGTCTTCAAAAACCAACCAACCAACCAACCAAACAAACAAACAAAACCCCAAAACCACAAACCAAACCAAACCAAAAAAAACAAGCAAACAAAACCAACTAATAATCTTGGAACACAGTGTGTGCCTAGCTCTGAGCTGAGTTTTGTGGTTTGATTTAATCCCCCAGATGGTCTTTACTATTTAATACTGTCACCATACCCATTTAATGGTCAGGCAAGTAAAGTAATAGAGCCCCAGGAAGTGCATCTAACTAGTTTGACCTGGTATTAAGGTCAAGACCATGGCTCTGTGAAAATCATTTCCAGTCTTGTCCCCAGACTTTCAGGGGCCTTGCGCTCCAGGCACACTGCCTTCATCCCTCATTTTCTCTTGACATGCTTCACTTTCCACCTTCTGGGTTGGGGTCTCCCAACCCCAGCTGTCTGAACCCAGGCCTCTGCCGGTGCACTGTGCACAGCCTTCTCCGGGCAGGGGCAGGAGTGCTCACAGCTAGACTGTGAGTGTGTGTGGGGGGGTGCGGAGATCCTCCAGTGGATGTTCTGTTTGCATCTTCAGAGACCCAGAGGACCCTGGAAAGAGACCGTGAACAAAGAAGGAGCAAGGAACTGAATGGCACAAGCTGGATTTGGCGGGTGAAGTGAAAAGACAAATGAGCACCTCTGCCCCTCCTGGCCTGGAGGGGTTCAGGCAAAATGGGATGAGGCTACTGGGCAAAGGTCTTCGTGCTCCTGCTCCAACGGGAAAGACTCGTCCTATGAAGGTGTGTTCCCATGCTCTTGCACGGAGTTAGCCATATTCCACCCTCATACGACATTTGGTAGTCTCCAGAGGCAGGAGACAGAAGAACCAGGTTAAAAGCTTGAGCCTTCAATAAAGTGGCAGAGCCAGGAACAAACTCTGGGCTTCCTAGAACCAGAGTCTTTGCTTTTCCCGATTCAAATTGAGGCCAGCACACTCGCTATGCAGAGAACTAACTGGGGTGAAAGGATTTTAACAGCTGTACCAACACACACACACACACACACACACACACACACACACACACACACACTCACACTGCATTTTTTTTCCCTCACCAGGCTGGTAAAGCAGGCAAAGGGGGTTGAATAGGATGATGCTTGCTTCGGGCGGAGGTGACCGGCCCCCCAGGCATCATTTGGAAACATATAGATTGGGTGGTGAGGTGGGATACTGCCACCCTTTGGTTGAGCTCAACTTTGGGGCTGCCTACAGTGGGAAATGTAGTGGTAAAACTTAGGCTGTCCTGAAGCTGATGGCCCAGCAGGCAAGGCAAGGGACATTTACTAAGCACTTTATACTGGGATATGTGCTAAATTTTATGAGGACATCTGAGTTATTCCTCTGGATGACCCAATGAGATAGACATTACTTCCGCTTAGGGACGACAGCATGTGGGAGGCCATAGAAAAGTAACCAGAAAAAAAATGAGGTGACTCATGGGGGCTGTATAGCAAAGACACAGAGGTGGGCAGCTTAGACTCTTTTGAAGAAAGCAGTTAAAGTTCAAGGTGCCCAAAGTGAAGACAGAATTTTGTCAGATGGGGGGGGCAGGAAGAGTGTGGGTCAGATGAAACAGCGAGAATAAAGCTCTGGATGCTGGAAGTACCTGGTGAACTCTGGGACCTGTAAATTGGGAGTTAAGAAGGCAGATGGAGAGTGAGGAAGTCCATGTTAGGTGAGCCCTGTTAAGGACTCTGGTCTTTATTAAGGGGGAGAGGTGGAATGAAGTTATTAATGGTTTTAAGCAAGGAAGAGTCATGATTAAATCTGTTTTGTTTGTTTTAGGCTGGCCTGGAGCTCTATGAGTAGCAGACTCTGGTCTTGATCTCTTAGTCTCCACTTCCCAGGGTTGGGATTATGGGTGTGTGCCACCACGCCCAACTAGAACTGCCTTTTTAAATGCCGCGGTTGTAAAGAACTCAAGGAGGAGTACAGTTTTCTTGGTAGGTAGACTACCGAAGCAGACCAGGGTGGTTACTGTAGAGAAGTCAGATGTGGGCTGGCCTGGAGCTCACTGTGAGAACCAAGCCGACCTTGGAATTACAGAGATCCTCCTGGATCTGCCTCTGCCTCTGCCTCCGGAGTGCTGGGATTAAAGGCTTGCACCATTACAGTGTCTGGCTCTATCTAGTCAGTATTTTGTTAGATTGCTAGTAGTAAATTCAGCAAGGAAGGGATGCCAAGATAGAGCAATAACAAAAGAAAAATAGAAAGATTGAGAGTACACTAATAGATTAAGGATGAATAGTTCACTGATATTCAGTTGTAGTGTAAAGTGCATTTCTGATATTTGGTCCAGATCTTTAAAAGTTCCAAAGCTCTGTATCATCACAAAGCCAGATTTTAAGTGCATTTATTAAACGCGATTATAACACTTCACTTTTTATTTCTGTTTGTTTCTTTGAGCTGTCTTCCCCATTCATACAGGAAAGACCACATGATTTGTATTTGTCTGATTCCTAGCAGAGTGCTTGTTATTAAGTTGGCATACTTACTGTGCATCAAATAAAAGTTTGAATGAATGCGTGAATGAATGAAGGGATAATTATAGCTCAGAAAATGTGGTTAAAATGATTGCTACTCTGTCTCCTTCTAGAATTCTTCCTATTCTACGGTGAGACCCGAAACTATTCAGTTATTACTTTCCAAGAGCCCTATTTGCTTGCCCGGGGGAAACAAAGAGGCAAGAATAATAAGCAATTAGTCAACAGGTCATTAGAATAATTGCAGGAAAGGGAGCCGGAGCCGAGGGCGGAGAACCTTCACCGACCGCAAAACAACCCCTACCCCCGCAAAACACTCCAAAATGCCCCCACCCGAACTGTGCCCTTAGTCAAAATGGCCCCTTTCAGCGTCGCCCGAACACAATGCGCATGCTCACCTCCATTTTTTTTGCGCATGCGTGGTGGTAAGGATGATGCTCTGTGATTGGCTGGTGCGCGATTTTTGAACCGGATCTGGCGGCGCGGTTCCACACTGCCGTTAGTGAGGAGCGCCGCGAGCCGACAGCAGCCCTCCTGGGGCGCGGCGGCCGGAGAGTGAGCGCCTCGGGCCGGTCGGAGTTGCGTGTGCGCGGGACCGGGAGCCTCGGTAAGCCGGTCCGAGGCCGCGAGCAGACGGCGGGGACGGGGGCTGCCCCTGGCGTGGTGTTTTGCCAAGTCAGGGGCGTCCGTTTGAGGCGTGGCCGGAGGGGTGGGGGTGTGGTTCCTCCGAGGTGGTCTTGGTTTCAGTGCGGGACCTGGGAGTGGTGGGATGGAGCTCCCTCCTGCCTTTTCGGAGGAACAGGGTTATCCGAGGGAAGAAAAGCCCTGGTGTTTGAGGGGCCTGGGCGACCCAGAGCTGTCTCCCACGAAGTTAATTAGAGCAACCGTGATTGTGGAGAACTGGAATGTTGCAAATTCGGAACCTTGACTGTCTCGGGTTGTCGTTAGCTCCCCCCACCCCTTCATAGTAATTGCCCAACGCTGTCACTTACCTACGTACTATTTTGTGACTAGCGTTTGAAACTCTTTGGTGTGTTTAAACATGTATTGACAGCTTCCGCTAACAGAAAAGCTAAGACTTAAAGGGTAGGAATTTACAGGGTAGCATCAGAAACCTGATTGATACGCTCACAGAGGATTTTAAGCGTTCCTTGATTTGTGTTCTTCACTATAAAAACTTGATGAGGCTGATTATATCAGAACGTGGTATTTGAGTAACTTTGACTCATGTTCACGGGCCAGGGTTACTTATAATTGGCTCCAGAAGGAGAGGCTGACTGCAGTACTTTCAGTAGTGTGTAGGAGGGTCATCGGGGTCACCCTTTATCATTGAAAGGTCTATCGCTACTAAGTAAACTGTACCCTGTGTGAATATGTGTGATGGTGTCTTGTGTAGCCCAGGCTGGCCCTTTGTAGCCAAGGATAACTTTACACTTCTGATCCTCCTACCTCTGGAGTGCTGGGATAACCGGCATTACAGGATAACTTTGGAGATTACAAGTGTGGTCCACCATTCCCAGTATCTGCTGTGCTGAGGACGGAAGCCATGGGCTCGCACATGCTAGGCAGGCATGGAATCAGCCAGTACAACTGTACTGAGAGATTGTCTTCTGGTTACACTTAACAGAAATGTGTTGACTGATGAGGTTGGTGTGCATACCAAGCCAGTGGGTTGCAGTAAAGCAGGGGCCTCTGCTCTGTTAGATTTCAGTGCTGCCTCGTGATGATCTTAGCTTTTGGATTTTTTTTTTCTATGTAGTCCTGGAACTCACTCTGTAGACCAGGGTGGCCTCGAGATCTGCCTGCCTCTGCCCCCTGAGTGCCAGGATTAAAGGCATGTGCCACCATGCCGGTCTCAAAGGTAGTGGCTGTTTTCATTCATGCCCAAATTTCATCTGATGTCACAAGGAGGTGACTGGTGAGTCAGTGGAAATAAAGATCACATGAGGTAATTGGGCTGCAGGCCTGAGATGCTCGTCTAATGCTCCCCAAAAACAGGGGTTCTATTCAGCCTTATAGAATCCTTAACATTGGCTTTTCCCCCCTGGGAATTTCAGTTGACAGTTCAGCTGTGTTGTCCCAGCTGGCTTCCAAGAAGGATTCTCCTGCCTCAGCCATCAGAGTAGCTGGACGATAGATAGAGGCATGTGCCATCATGCTGTTACTTTTTTTTTTTTTAAGAAAATATTTTTGCGCCGGGCGGTGGTGGCGCACGCCTTTAATCCCAACACTCGGGAGGCAGAGGCAGGCAGATCTCTGTGAGTTCGAGGCCGGGCTGGACCGACAGCCTCCAAAACAATACAGAGAAACCCTGTCTCGTTAAAAAAAAAAAAAAAAAAAAAAAGAAAGAAAAAAAAAAGAAAAGAAAATATTTTTGCAATATTTGTCAAGAGCCATGTAAGGCTTTTTCTTTCTTTTTTTTTAAGATTTATTTATCTATTTATGTGCATTGGTGTTTTTCCTGCGCATATGTCTGTGTGAGGATGCATGATCCCCTGGAACTGGGGTTACAGACGGCTGTGAGCTGCAGTGTGGGTGCTGGGAATTGAACCCAGGTCCTCTGGAAGAGCAGCCAGTGCTCTTAACCCCTGGGCCATCTCTCCAGTCCCCATTTAAGGCTTTTATACCATGATGCATTAATTAAAAACCTGTTCCAAAGACTCCTTTTAAAGAAAGACCTGAAGGAGAATACTGGTCATGGGGAAGGAGGTTCACTCATTCAGTGAGTGTCAAATCACCTTCCAAGTATCAAGCTGTGGTCTAGACTTCAGTGGCTCCTCAACAAACAAAACAGACAGAAGTCTTTGCTTTCCAGACAATAAACTACGTACATATATTAGATGATTTGGAGCAGAATAAAGTTGGCATTTCTGAAAAGTTGCAAATTTTTTTTTTTTGGTTTTTCGAGACAGGGTTTCTCTGTATTGTTTTGGAGGCTGTCCTGGAACTCGCTCTGTAGACCAGGCTGGCCTCGAACTCACAGTGATCCGCCTGCCTCTGCCTCCCGAATGCTGGGACTAAAGGCGTGCGCCACCAACACCCGGCTGAAAAGTTGCAATTTTAAATAGGGTATTTGGCAGAAACTTCACTGAGAAGTAAGTGAAGATTGCTGGGTGTGTGTGTGTGTGGGATATGATGGACGGGGCACATCATGCTAGAGACTGCAGACAGAGGCTAACTGAAAAGCTATACATTTTCTAAATCCAAAGGGTTTAGAATGACAAAACATAGCCCATCCTTTTTAGTGCTTAATTGAAACAAAGTGCTAATAATCAAAACATGAAATTTTGTGAGTCTTGAAGTTAGTTTTGATATTGTATGACAAAGGGTGTAGTTTGGGTAGTAAGATTTTTGTTTCACTGTTTAGAAGGTGTCATTCCCCCACCAACATATATTACCTTGATGAGACAGTGGTTTTATGTCTGCCTGAGTGTTACAAATAAAGATCATTAGGAAAAGGCTTTGGGGATTGAAGACTCGGAGGACCTAGCAGGAAACAGGACGCCAGTGTGCTGAACTTAAAACATCACGATTCAGTTTTCTCTTCCCTCATTTTAGTCTCCACTCAAGTTGAGCCCAAGACGTTCTGTTTACTCTTTCTACAATTGATTCACTCAGAGGAACAGCTGGTCTCACGGTAGTATTTGTTCTGCCAGTTGGATGGAGCCTTTGATATGAAGCAGAAGCTGGACATTTAGGGAAATGAATTGTTCTCGAGTGCTGTTGAATGAGAGCATCTAGTGTTGAGCTTGTTTTGGGGAGTGCTTTTCCTTGGCAGCAGGAAACCTACATTGTTAATTTCTTGGGAATCTCCAGAACGGCAGTGTGTATAATGTTTTTCATTAAAACACTTTGTTGAAAAGGAAAAAAAAAACAAAAACAAAACCCAAGCAATCTGCTATTGCTTTGTCTTATACTATATAACACTATATAACACCTTTGATGCATCTAAAAAAAACTGATCTATAGTTTTCTTAATAATGTTGTTTGTAGGACAGGTATAGATGCTTTCCCCAGGATACCCTGCAGTTAGACCTGTAATGGTCTGTTGTTCTGAAAGACTGTCTGTTTCTTCACTGGGTGATTGAAATTAAATTGGGGCCTCAAAGCAATAACAGCAAGCTGAGACTCTTTTCTCCTGGTGTTGCCAAATTGCTCCCTTAGGGATACTCATGGATTGGGACTATAAGACAGTGACTCTCCACTTCTGGGGCTCCCCATCAATAACAGCTGGGGTTCTGGGCACCTTTTTGTTGAAAGTGCTCTGTAAACTGATTTCCTTGCTCCACACAGGAGCTGTTGCCTCTGCCGTGGGAAGTGACAGCTGCTTTACAGCCTAGAGCTGAGCTCCACAACAGGACTGTTGCTGTTTCCTTTCATGTTACTGCGTCTCCTAGCCATGAAGCTAAATAATAAAGGGGGAGGAAATAGACTTGAGGACGGAAACGTGGCGCAGCAGGAAAATTAAAACCATTCTCAGTTGACACTGAGAAGGACGAGTAAGCTTTAGCTTACAGTTTGGCTGAGGTATTGAGAGTTAGTAGTAATGCAGAGAGAGATATTTTTGTCACCTATAAATAATTCCTGAGAATCACTTCTGTAGAATGTTAGAATATAAGATCCCCCAGCATATAAAGAGGAGTATACTTTTGCTAGAACCAGATTTTAATTCTCCTAAGCAAACCTATTTTAGAGGGAGAAAAATCAACTTACTTCAGAAGTAACAGTCTCATTGAGAACATCTTGTTTGACCCAGTCAGAAGCTTGTCATTTTTGGATTGGATTCTAGCTCATGTCTGTGTTTACACACACATGCACATGGCTCTGTTTTGTGTCACTGCTATAATTTGCAGGTGTTTGAGAAAATCTGCAGTAAATATATATGGTCGATACTTTTATAGCATTTCAGTGTGTTAGGGTGGAAAGAGAAAAGACATTGACTCAACACCTGCATTTCATTGCATGCTCAGCATTTGGTCATTTCAGGTTTGTGGGTCTAAGTTGTCTATAAAATGGCAGCTTAGTTAGATTCATAGGAAGAAGAAAATGTGAAATGTCAAATTTAGTACTCAATTCACAGCAAAGGCATATGTTAAATATTTTTTAGCACTATTTAAAAAAATAGTCTGTGCTCCTGAATTTAGTGGACCCTCATGTGGAGACAGTCTAGACTACTTAGGGGAAATTACTGGAGTTGTGAACCACTCTTCCAGAATCTAATTAACAGTTTTCAGAGCCCAAACAACACAGAGATACACTTCATATTTTCATAAGCTATAATTTTTTTTTTTGAGACAGGATCTCTTTGTGTATCCCTGGCTGTCCTGGAACTCATTCTATAGATCAGGCCTTAAATTCACAGAGATCCACCTACCTCTGCTTCCTGAGTGCTGGGATTAAAGGCCTTTGCCACCACTGTCCAGCTGTGTGGTGTATTTTAATACTGAGTATCAAATATAAGATTTCTGCTCTAAAATTTAGTAAGCTTAAATTAGATCGAAAGGCATGTGTGTCTTAGTACCAACTGATAGAGTAGCGGGGAAGGGGGGAATGCTGAAGGTGTTGGCAGGAAGTCAGATGGACTGGGCAGTGACAACTGCATATGATTGATTATATGTGAGAAGAGTTCACAGTTGGTTATTTTTGCTAAAAAGGGAGAAACCAAAGATATTTATAAAAATTGAAAGTGAATGATTAGAGGGATAATGAAAATAGGGAATCAGAGCCAGGCCTGGTGGCACACACCTTTAATCCCAACACTCCGGTGGCAGGCAGAGGCCAGTCTGGAGGCAGAGGCAGTCAGCTCTTGATTTCAAGGCCAGCCTGGTCTATGGAGTGAGTTCCAAATTAGCATAGGCTACTTAGTGAGACTCTATCTCGAAAAACAACAACAAAACCTGAGAATCAGCAGGATAGTTTGCGTGTGAAGGGGAGAGGAGAATAATATCTCAGTTGGGGCAGCACTTAGAGTATTTAGGCACTTGAGTTAGAGCTGTCTAACTGGCTGGAGCAGAGGGGTTTGGTAAATTCAGAGAATGTGAGGGATTAGGAAGGATGCCTGGACTGTTGGTAAAACCATGAGGAACTGTCAGAGCTAAGAATGGCCTCTGCTTATAATAGAGCATTTAGGATTTTATTGTTTTGATATTTGGAGACAGGGTTTCTCTGTGTAACCTTGACTGTCCTGGAACTTACAGACCAGGCTGGTCTCAAACTCACAGAGATCCACCTGCTTCTGTCTCTCTAGATCTGGGATTAAAGGCGTGGGTCACCACTGCCCTGTTGTTGCATTAGGATTTTAAGTCACTATCTTCTAATACACATGGAGAAGACCAGCCTGAGAGTCTTGAGTGTACACCTGCTACAATGTCTTGTAAATCTTTTTCCTTTCTTTCTTTCTTTTTTTTTTTTTTTTTTTTTGAATTGGGTTTGTTTTCAAGAGACTGCCTCTTTCTTTAGTTAGGCAGAGTGACTCAGGCCTTATGATATCACCACTTGGGAGGCTGAAGTAGGATTGCAGTGGGTTCACAGCCAGCCTGGGCAGTCTCAAATAGCCCTTCCTTCAAAACAAAACACTAAAACCATAGCCAACCAGTTTCTAACCCTTACTTACTCCTTGGAGTATACATAGAAACCAAAGTAATCATGAACTAAAGAAACTTGAGAAAACATAGGACTCGTTTTCTTCCTGCTGCTGTAACAAAGTACCTGAAACTGGGTTATTTATGAGGAGTAGACATTGTCTGTGTGTGTATGCACAAAAGGACCAGATCAACCTCTAGTGGTGTTCCTCAGGAGCTGTCCACCTTGGTGTTTGCTTTGTTTTTTTTTTTTTGAGAGAGGGTCTTATATGTATCCCAGGCTGCCTTGAACTCAAGATCTGACTGCCTCTGCCTCTGCTTCTACCTCCCTAGTGCTGGGACTAAGTGATAAAACTAAAGCTGTGCGTCATCACACCTGGCCCAGGGTCTTGTTTTTTGGACAAGTCCTCAGTGAGACCTAGGGCTGAGCTCTGAGGGTCCTGTAGCTTCCTCAATGCTAAGATTCTAAATGCACGTCACCTGCTCAGCTCAGAATGTGTTTCTCTTTATATTCTGGGGGGGGGAGCCTTGTGTGCCACAGCATGCATGTGTTTAATGTCATCACATTGGTCAGCAGGATTGAGTGGGGTTGTTAAGCTTGTGCAGAAGGGTCCTTGTCCTCTGAGCCACCTTGTGGCCTGTACACAACTTTTACATGGATGCCCAGGACCAGACCCAGGTCCTCAACTTGTGCAACAAGTGGAGCTGTCTCTTTAACAGTGTTTTATTAGGGTTTAGAAAGTTCCAGGTGAAAGTGTCCTGAGATTGCTTGATAAGAATGTCCTTTGTTTCCTTGATAAAGCCTTTTTGTGACCTAACAGAAGAGCAATAGGGGCACCTAGTTCCTTCAGGCCCTTTTGCAAGGGCACACTAGTTCCTTAACATTCTAGTCCTGCTGCATAGGGAATTCAGTTTCAACATATATTTCAGAAGGACACAGACGAATCATAGAGGGTCAGGTCAGGTCAGGTCTTACTGTCCTTTAAGACAGCATTTTTAGTGATTGTGTTTTAGAACAAGGCCTTCCCATGTAGCCCCTTGACCTGGAGCTTGTGGCCTTCCTGCCTTTATCTCTAGTGCTGAACTTGTAGCACAAACACCATGTCTGCTTGAAAATACAGTTTTTGCCTGGTGTGGTGGTGCACACCTTTAATTCCAGAGGCAGGCAGATCTCTGGGTTACAGTTCAGGTCTCAAAAACAAGAAATCCCCTCCTCCCATTTTCAATATCACAGTTGCTGAGAAGCTACTTACCTGAACCCCCTAGCTACTGTCTTGAACCTCCTAACTATTCTCTAGCTACTCTCCTGAGCTTCCCTAGCAGAGGGTTTTGTGTTTGGAATCTCAGGATATACTTACGATGCTGAGATATGAGAGATAAATATCCGTGACACAGCTGCTGACTAGTGGCCTCTGATTTTACTGGGAGCCAGAGGACATCATCCTTTGAATCCATCCTACGTGTTCTTCTCTGCAGCTCCTGTGTGTGGACCTCTTCGTGATGTCCACAGGCTTTCCTGCTGGCCATAATGCCACTTACTTTGTTCTACCTTGGAGGAAGATGTTTGTATTAAGTCAGTTAGTCTGGTTGCTTAGCAGCTTGCCACAGTTAGTTGCTTGGAACCAAGTACACCGCCATTTGAAGAGCATGGTTTCCAGTCCTGTTATGGTTACACTGCAGACAGACTTGGAACTGATAAACTTTTTATTTTATTGCTATTATAGCAGTTGTTTCATGACTATAAATGAATATTTCTGTACTGTTTAATAAGTTTTTATTTTTTATTTTTTAGTTTTTTGAGACAGGATTTCTCTGTTTAGCTTTGTAGACCAGGCTGGCCTCAAAGTCATAGAGAAATGCCTGCCTCTGCCTCCCGAATGCTGGGAGGTGGGTGCCACCACCACCTAGTTCAGAAAATATTTTTATGCTCATACATTCTTTGTTTTTTTTTTTTGTAGGGTTTTGTTTGTTTGTTTTTTCCGTATCTTAATGTCATAATTTATGGTACAACCTTACAAGTACTTGGAAAATCATTAACAACTCAAAATAGAGATCTGAAGTTTTTATTTAGATACATAGAGTGACTATCTGGGCAGAGCATTAGGGTGAGAGGAACATGAGAATCCTCTAAAGTGTTTCTAAGAATTTTTTTTTTTTTTCGAGACAGGGTTTCTCTGTGGCTTTGGAGGCTGTCCTGGAACTAGCTCTTGTAGACCAGGCTGGTCTCGAACTCCCAGAGATCCGCTTGCCTCTGCCTCCCAAGTGCTGGGACTAAAGGCGTGTGCCACCAACGCTCGGCATCTAAGAATATTTTATTTTCAAGTGAGATTAACTATTTTCTTCTCTTAGTAATCCTTTTTTTGTCATGTTTAGTTAATGTCTTTCTTGATGACTAAATGAAGAACTTATTTTCCTAGTCCATTCTTTGCTGAAATCTATTTGGAACAGAGCAGCCTGGAAGGCTGGCCTGGGTTTTTAATATGATATTAGCAGGTTTTTGGGAGGCAACACAAAGCCTGAAATTCCCTGTACACAGCACACTAATGGATGGTTTTTCCTTTGCCCTTGTCACTGTGAAGGTGGTGCATTGTCTCTCTGATGCCAGAGTGGTATAACATAATCTTCGCCTGTACTTAGTATAAATTTATTAGACACAGTCCTTGCATGCATTCCAGCAGAGAACGCCACACTACAGAAGTAATTCTTGTGCTGCTGAGCTGGCAGTTTCCTACTTAATCACTGTGTGATGTCACCTGTGCCATTGGTGGGAAATGTGCTGACCATGTCCTGCTTTTAAGAGACAGTTGTGACAGGATATTAGCTAAAAGTGAGATCAAAAATAAACATTTCAAGTTTGTAGGTTTTCAAAGTCTGAAAGATTAAGGCAGCAAAAAAAGTTAAGTTAGATTTGAAGAACCACATTTTGTTTGTGGTTGGGGGTGCATATTTATAGTTCACTGACATGCTCATTACTACTGAAGACAATTAGCACCGGCATCATTGGAAGGAGTGGGGATTGGCATAGAAGTAAACAGAGAAGGTGTATGTCGTCAGTCGTTTCCAATGTTTTCTAGTTCATAAGTGAGTATTAAACATTGCAACTTCGGTTCAGTCTGGCACATGCTTGTAATTCCATCATTTGGAATGCTGAGGCAGGAAGATTGTGAGTTCAATGCCAGCTTTAGCTACTAGTAAGACCTCCTCTCAAAAAGAAACCAAAAACCAAACAAACTCAAAAAACCAAAAACAAGCAACTAGTGGTGGTGCATGCCTTTAATCCAGCACAGGTGAATCTCTTGAAACAGAGAAAGAGAAAAAAAAAAGAAACACTAACTTATTTATATAGATTATGGTCACAAAATTGTTGGTTTAAGATTCTTGGAATGGAGCCCAGCATTGGTGGCACATGCCTTTAATCCCAGCACTCCAGAGTCAGAGGCAGGTGGATCTCTGTGAGTTCGAGGCCAGCCTGGTGTACAGAGTGAGTTCCAGGACAGCCTCCAAAACAATACAGAGAAACCCTGTCTCGAAAAAAAAAACAAAAACAAAAACAAAAAAAAGATTCTTGGAATCGGAGCCTGGTAGAGATGCCCACCTTTAATCCCAGCACTCCGGAGGCAGAGGCAGGCGGATCTCTGTGAGTTCAAGGCCAACCTGGTCTACAGAGTGAGTTCCAGGACAGCCAGGACTACACAGAGAAACCCTGTTTTGAAAAACAAAACAAACAGGAGATTCTTGAAATGGTGGCTGTAAATAGGAGAGTCCAGGTGTTGGCCATTGATGGATTTATTAGATTGTTACTGACTGTTTTGTAAGGGGGAGAAGGCAGCTTCCCTAATGCATATTTGATTTCTTGGCAGAAGATGGATACTACAGTGGTGAATTTGTGGACTCTGTTTGAGCAACTTGTGCGCCGGTTGGAGATTATCAATGAAGGAAATGAGAGCAGTAAGTCATTCTGAACTGGTCTCCAGAGGTTGGGGGGTGGGGATGGGTGGAATAAAAGGAAACCATCAGATATCAGCTTTTGGTCTTTATAATGCTGAAATGTGTTGGATCTGAAAGTGGGTGTTCTTTCAGGTTACCTAAAAAAACAGTGATGGCTACTGCTGGCCCAAGTGTCCTGAGCACTCAAAGGACCATTAAAATTTATTCTCTGTTACTTTAAAAAAAATTTCTGAGCCAGGCGGTGGTGGGGCACGCCTTTAATCCCAGCACTCGGGAGGCAGAGGCAGGTGGATCTCTGTGAATTCGAGACCAAGCCTGGTCTACCAAGCAAGTTCCAAGACAGGCTCCAAAACAATACAGAGAAACCCTGTCTCGTAAAACAAAAAAAGAAAAAAAATTTTTTCTGTGTATGTGGGTGCCCATGAAGGCCAGAAGAGGGCATTTGAGCCTCTGGAGCTGCAGTTACTGGTGTGAACTGTCTACCTCATGCAGCTCTGTTCTCCATGCTCCCAGATAAGCTGGCCTCTAGCTCACTAAGTAGCTCAGGCTTGCCTAAAGCTCTGATCTTCCTGCCACAGCTTGTCCAAGTTCTGGTGGTCTTGGAAATCACCATGTAGACCAGGCAGGCCTTGAATTTACAGAGATCTGCCTGCCTGCCTCTACCCTTAGTTCCCAAGTGCTCAGACTAAAGATGTGTGCTACCACACCCAACTGACTAGGTTTCTTTTGAATGAATTGATATGTTAAGTTGGAAGTTTAGTCAAGATTATAATTGCTTATGTTGTATATTTCTGTACATGATTTAAATTTGTATAAGAAAAATGCCCTCACTACCTAAAAATCTGCTGGTTTTATGTGAGTATGGCTTAGTTTCATCTGTAAACAGGGTTTGTTTGGAATCTTCCTATATGCTGTTGATGGAGCGTGATGCTTGGAGATAGGGTGAGGCTGGCTCAGGAATTAAAGGCACTGTGCTCACTGTAGAGCAGTCTTCAGCAGAAGCAAGGGTGGACATGGGTGCTGCTGGGGTGACTTGCTTTGAGGTGCTTCATGCTACTTGGTGATTCTGTTGTCTCTGCAGACATTTAAACAGAGTCCCCCATTCTGCTCCCAGGGACTTTCTGAGAACTAGTGTGACCATTTCTGCTTTTACAGTGGAGTATTTATTTCCCTTTAGGGCATTGTTAAACAGCAAAAGCAATTGGCTCTTTACTTGCTGATCAATATTTGTATAATTATCACTGAATGGAATTACAGGTCTTAGGTTTCTGTAATATTAATCTACATCTACTAGAGCATTGTAGCAGTTATACCTGAATTTGCTGTTTAACTCTGGTTCAGCAATGTATGACTGTAAAGGAGGCCGATTTTTTGTTTTATATGACTGTCCTGGTGTTTGACAGCTGCCCCAAAGGTATCCCTTTTTGATTGCCTTCTGTTCAGGAGCTTTTAGCATTGGTGACATCTGGAGACAGGTGACTAATGAGCTTCATACTCCATAGCAGATGCCCTGGTTAAGCCAAAGTGTGTAGCCTATTGAATCAGGAGTTGCTTCCCACTAAACTCTAGTCCAAAGTGACCAAACAGGGTTTGTCCTGGTCATTTTCAGTTCAGTTTGATCATAGTCTAGCAAGACTTTATATTTGAGATGAAGCTAACTATAGACCTGTTTATTTGAACAGTTATGTTTTTGCTGCTTGGATTGTTGAAGTTTTTACCTGTCCTCAGTTGAATTCATCCAGGTTGTGAAGGACTTCGAGGATTTCCGGAAGAAGTGTCAAAGAACCAACCAGGAGCTGGAGAAATTCAAAGATCTGTTGTTGAAAGCAGAGACCGGGCGTAGTGCTCTGGACGTTAAGCTGAAGCATGCGCGTAATCAAGTAGATGTAGAGATCAAACGGAGACAGCGAGCTGAGGCTGAATGTGCAAAACTGGTGTGTATTGCTTTGTATGTTAGACTGTGATGGACTGGGGAGACTTCATTTAATAATTTTTCTATTTACCAGATATGCATGGTTTCCCCTCTGCATAAACAACTGAAAATCGTTTGTCATCTTGCATGTGATTGGAGATGAAACTGTAGCCTGTGACCTCTGTTTTTTTAGTTTGAAATGAATATTTATTTTCTCCTTTAGACTTGAAAGTGTTTTCTACTAGACAGATTTCAAATGAGAGTGAAAACAAAATGGTCAAGGATGTAGTGTGCAGTTGGTAAAATGCTTGCCTGGCATACACAAGGTCCTGGGTTCCAGCACTCCAAAATTTCTTTTTAAGAATTAAAATGAGGCGTGCCGGGCGGTGGTGGCGCACGCCTTTAATCCCAGCACTCGGGAGGCAGAGGCAGGCAGATCTCTGTGAGTTCGAGGCCAGGCTGGACCAACAACACAGAGAAGCCCTGTCTCGTAAAACCCAAAAAAAAAAAAAAAGAATTAAAATGAGAATGATAATGAAACTCTAGACTACTAATCTGTCACAATTGATTTGCTATTCCATGGGGTGGGTATCTTTTGAGACAGGGTTCTACTGGATAATCCTTGATGGCCTGAAACTCAGGGCCTCTGCTCCCTAAACTCTGGGTTTAGAGGTAGATGCTGTCATGCTCAGCCTGTGTTGTTTAGTATAAATGCCAAGAATGTTGTTCTCCTTTTGACTTGGTTACACTGGCCCACTGTCATCAATACAGGCAAGGCAGCTCTAATACTTCATTAGTGCTCTCTAACTCACGGTAAAGGACTAGATGTATTTAGTGAGTTGAACAATGTGACTGGCATACGGCAATGTTGTTATTTTGATATGACAGGATGTGTCTTGGTGCAAAGGAGAGCTTTACTTGAAGGGACAAATCGATCTTAACTCAGTGTTCCATGCCTTAGTAAGCACAAAGGGTCTGCATTGCAGCTTTGTATCTGTTTTAATATATTTTGTTCTATCATTTAGAAAAACACGTGACTGCTTTGATCCATAAAAGAAGCCAATTATTGTTCTGATTAAAAACAACACATGAACTATTTTTGCTATGTGAATCTATTTTGGAACTCTCATTCTATATCACTCTCCTCTTGGATTAACAGTTTGATCTAAAAATCTCATAGAAGAGCCCCCTATTCTAAATGGAGTTGATTTTACTCGTCAGAAACCAGCCACAGCCTGGGCTTGATGTGAATTAATATTCTATTGTTGTAATGCCTTCCTGAAGGCCCATTTGCATAATGTTGTATTTTAATGTCTTATGTCTATCCTATAAATGTGAGGTGAAGCTTTCTTCCCTGGCTAGTTTACGATGTTTTACTCTGCTTTGGTATGTAGGAACAACAGATTCAGCTGATTCGAGATATACTCATGTGTGACACATCTGGCAGCATTCAGCTAAGCGAGGAACAAAAATCAGCTCTAGCTTTTCTCAACCGAGGCCAAGCATCCAGTGGCAACCCTGGGAACAATAGGTGGGAACCACATCTGTTGTCATCTGATCATAAGCAGCACAGCTGTCAGAAGTCCCATTATCTGACCTCTTACGTGTGCTGAACAAAGCTGAAAAGCCTTAGGGGTGGGTGGTGGGAGGGAGGGGCACAGAGCCTGTCCACATTTACTTTCATTATTTTTTTAAGCTTTCTATAGGGTGTTGTTTGACCATGGGTGCAATTTTGATGCTGGTGTTGAATTGCACATCAATAACTAATCCTGTACATTGTGAAGAAACCAGAGGTGAAAGTAGCAGTTCATCAGTACTCAGTGTTTATTCTCCAGAGAGCTCTGCGGCTGCTGGGAACTAAGACCAGACAATCATTTTGGTTCCATAGTGTCGCTAAAATAGTCTCAGCTAGGCTTTGAATGTAATACTCCCAGTACAATAAGTAGGAAAAGGCTTACATTCTTAGGGTTATTTGTTTCTTGTTGGTTGATTGGTCTGTGGGGAATATTGTTTAGTTTGGTGAAATAGGGTCTTAGGGTATAGCCCTGGGTGGCTTAAATTCATTGTTTATGTCAGGCTGCCCTTGAATTCATAGAGATCTACTTTTCTCTTCCTCCTGAATGCTGGGGTTAAGGCTGTGATGTCACTATGCCCAGCTCATGTGGGATTTTTATAACCAAGAAGATATATGAACTTGATTTTTTTAATGATTAAAAAATTATGAGTATGTGTGCATGAGGGTAAGCCATGTGTGCAGGGGGTGCCCATGAGAACCACAAGAGGAGAGTGGATTCCCTGGAATGAGAGCTGTAAAAGACTATCACCTGCCTGATGTAGGTAGTGTGAGCTCTTAATCACTGAGCCATCTCTCACCCCCCCAATCCCTCCTAGTTTTTGAGCCAGGGTCTTATATATTTCAGACTGGCCTTGAATCCCTGGGCTTGTGCTGCATCTCAAGTGCTATCTGCATGGACCACTATATTCAGTTTAGGCTCAATGTCTTAAAAAGTCAGTGCTGGGGGCTGGGGATGTAGCTCTGATAGTAGTGTACTTGCCTCGTATGGTTCAGTTTCCAGTGCTTTGTAAACTGGGCGTGGTGGTACACATCTGTAATCCCATGTTTGGGAAGTAGGGGTAGGAGAGTCAGAAGTTGAAGATCATTTCCAGTTACATAGGAAGTTCATGGGCAGTGTGGACTAGAGGCCTTGGCTCAGACAAAAATATCAAACCAAAAGCCCAGTGCAGGAAGCATCAGAATTGAACTGAATTGAATTGAACCTCAGTTTGCTTCCTTGTAGTACACACTCAGCAAGAAATGCTCACAGCTGTGGCTGTAATGCTCACTTGCTCCCACACTCACAGTGCTCCCTGAAAACTGGAGAACAGCTCACTGCAGCCAGGGCTTCAGCTTGTGACCATTGGGATTTTGCGGGGTACCGATGGCTCTTATGTTTTATGGTGTCCTGTGACTAACACTGTGTTGTTGTTTTTAATCCAGACTGTCAACCATTGATGAATCTGGTTCCATTTTATCAGATATCAGCTTTGACAAGACTGATGAATCACTGGTAATAAACATTTGCTCTCTGGAGTTATCTATTTTTGTTCACCTGCCCTGTAGGAGCATCCCTGCTCCTGTCCTTGACAATCCTTTATGATGCTTTCATTGTTGATTTGTTACAGGTTCTGAGCTTGTAACTTAAATGTAAACCCACACAAGTATAAGGCACTGACTTAAATATTTATTTTCTGGAAGTCAGATGTACAACTCAGTTTTCTGTGAAGCTGAGTTTTTCTGATGGGTCTCTGGGAGGTAGCTGTAGTAATTGTGTTTTAACTTGTTAAAGCCCTAGCAAGGGGTGAAAATGAGCAAGATTGACCAGGCAAAGTGTTTTATTTTTACTTCTTGAGATAGTCCCACTATGTAGTTGTAACTGTCCTGGAGTTTGCTATGTAGACCCAGGAAAGGTTTATTTGCTGCTACTGAAGTGAATAGATTTATACTTTATTTCCAAATTAGTTTGGTTCTTGAGGAAAGTTTACCCATCCTTCATATTTATTAGAAGGACACTGAGCTGGGCAGTGGTAGCTCATACCTTTAACCGCAGCCCTCAGGAGGCAGAGGCAGTTGGATTTCTGTGAGTTGGAGGCCAGCCTGGTCTGCAAAGCTACACAGAAAAACCCTGTTTCAAAAAACAAAACAAACCAAAAAAGGAAACAGAAGTCTTTGGACTTGAGCCAGAAGGTTGGAATTTAAATGGCTGGGCAGCCTATTATTCTTTGATTAAGCAATAGTTACTATGTCTAAACTTGCTACCTTGCTTTTGTTGATAGCAGAACTGGTGAAATTTCTGTATAAATGTTTCATATTCCTACTGATATTTTAGTCTTTAATGTTTAGGAGACTGTAGACTACTGGCAGTTTATCATTTCTGTGGGAGATTGAAACCCAGCAAACAAACCAAAGCACAGGAAGTCGTTAGTGTTTGGTTTTTGATGGCAAAGCAAGTAGCAAGTACATTCCTAAGAGTGTTTTTGTTCCCAGTCAGTGTCCATTTAAAAGATTTTTTTTTGCTACGTAAAGTACTGTTTTATTTTTCCAAGGTGTTTGTCTTCCATGAAGCCATCTCTTTACATGGGCTTTGGTGGAGGTCGTGGTGCAGCACTAGCGGGTCTAAACCCTGGTGGGGTTGTCCGGTCCTTCCCGGCTTCACGAGATCGATTCCTGACTACTTTGCTGTGAATAGCACAGCTCACACAGTAATGCAGTTTGACATAGAGCTTTGGAAGCACATAAGCACATATGTGTCGAAGACGCTTGCTTTGGATATGTCCCTGACAGCAGCGGCCTCCACTATGTTCCGAATGACGAACTTCTTAATGGCCTTGTCCTTGGGCACGCACTGGGCGCAGTTCATGCAGCGAATGGGCTGCACATGGCCGCGGCCTTTTTTGGCATGCCCGTTGTTCCGTCTTTTTTTTTTGGCCATCTTGGAGCCAAGACCTGAAAGAGGACTAAAAGATTCTTTTGAAATAAAGAATTATATAGAGTAGGTCTGGGGTATATAATCAAACATATCAGGTGTGTTTTGAGGAAAACCTGTACTGTGATAGCTGTTATAATTGGAACTGATCAGCCAGTAGCTAGATTATTTGACTACTGTTTGTTGTATGTGCTGTTTCTGGGTACTGTTTTTCTAGGGGTAACCAGGAGTAAGGGAAGGAAGCACAGGTAGATACTAAAGTGAATGCCACTGGTTACAATAATGGAAGTGAAACTAGCCTGTAGTAAAAAGTATAGAATTCAAAGTTAAACAACCTTTTAGGATCAAGGAGGAGAGAGAGATATTGAAGGTTAGGAAAGGTAAACTAACTTCTTAAATGGGACTGTTGGATGGAATATCCAATTAGACAGTAGCAATCACAGGGCAAGAGTCGCATCTAACATGGTCAGTACAGTGTCTTATATTCTCTAAGTCCTAAAACTAATTAGAAAAATAATGAGGAGTAAAGGACCAGGCACCTGAAACAATCACGACAGAGGTTGAATCTCTAACCTTTTCCTGTCTCTGTGGCATTGGTTCCTGATGCTGTTACTGTTGCTTCAATATTTGAAGGGAGCCTGCTAACTGGAGCTTTGGAGCAAACTCCAAAGGCCATCTTAATGTTCCTCTCCTGAGGTTTTAAGTTAGGTAGTCTGACTTGTGTGCTTTAAGTTTATTTACACAGGATTTATGAGTGGTCTAACCAAAGAAAGAGATTAACATGGTCTAATTGCCAACAGGACTGGGATTCTTCTCTGGTGAAGAATTTCAAAATGAAGAAACGAGAAAAGAGGGTATGTATATGTTCTCCTTGCCCCTCCCTGGGTGGGGCTTGAACCCTTGGTCCCATGCACACTAGGCAAATGCTCTCTTACTAGTCAGTTGTCACTTGTCACCCCTTAAACACATTCACTAAGTTCCCAAGATGTCCTTAACTTACTGTGTAGGAAAGCCTTAAATTTGTGACACTCCTGCCTCAGCTCCTTTTTTTTTTTTTTTTGGTTTTTTTGAGACAGGATTTCCTCTGTGTAGCTTTAGAGCCTATCTTGGCACTCACTCTGTAGGCCAGGCTGGCCTGGAACTCACAGAGATTCACCTGCCTCTGCCTCCCGAGTGCTGGGATTAAAAGCTTGTGCCATCAACACCTGGCTAGACTTAGATGTTTCATGTCTTTAATCCCTGCACTTGGGAGGCAAAGGCAGGTGGATCTCTTTGAGTTCTAGACCAGTCTGGTCTACAGAGTAAGTTCTAGGAGAGCCAGGGCTATACAAAGAAACCTTGTCTCCAAAAACCAATTTTTTTTTTTCTTTCCTGGCATCATGTCCCTCAGGTGTGATCCTAACACTGAGGAGGTTGAGTCAGAAAGATCTTGAATTTGAGGCTAGCCTGGGCTACTTAACAAGTTTGAGACCAGGTTGAACTGCATTGTGATGTCCTATGTAAACAAACAAAACAAAAGCAGGGCTGAAGAGGTAATTTGTAGTTAAGAGCGCTTGATGCTTTTGTAGAGGACCTGAATGGTGTTCCCACATGGTGACTCAAAAGTATGTCACTCCAGTTCTCCAGTTTCAGGAGATCCAATGTCTTTTTTTTCCCCAAGACAGGATTTCTCTGTGGCTTTGGAGGCTGACCTGGAACTAGCTTTTGTAGACCAGGCTGGTCTTGAGCTCACAGAGATCCACCTGCTTCTGCCTCCCAAGTGCTGGGATTAAAGGTGTGCATTCCTATAGCCTCCTTGAGATCAGACATACATGTGGTGTTGACATATATATGCAGGCTACTTATACACATAATATAAAAATAAGTATTAAAAGAAAAACCATACCAAACAAAAGACTCATTAGTAATATTTTTCTTTTTGGGAAATTTGGATACAAAACTAGATTTCTGACACATCTCTAGACACTGTTAAAAAAAACACACACACACACAAAATGTAGGTCAACTGTAGTGACACACTCTTTTAAATCCAGCACTTGGAAGGCAGAAGTAGTGGATCTCTGAATTAGAGACCAGCCTGGTCTACAGAGAGAGTTTCAGGACAGCCAGGGCTACATAGAGAAACCCTGTTTCAAAACAAGCACAAAGCACAAATGGATTAATGTTACTTGGGCAATACTTTTTTTGTTGTTTTTCTTTTTTGAGACTGGATTTCTCTGCATTGCTTTGGAGGCTGTCCTGGAACTCGCTCTGTAGACCAGGCTGGCCTCGAACTCACAGAGATCTGCCTCCCAAGTGCTGGGATTAAAGGAGTGAGCCACCAACGCCCGGCTGGGCAATACTTTTTGTTTTTGTTTTATGAGAGGGTTTCTCTGTATTGTTTTGGAGGCTATCGGACCAGTGGGCAATGCTTTTTTAATTTAAAAATTTTAGTGTGTGCCGGTTGTGGTGACGCACGCCGGTAGGATTTGCTGAAAGAGGCAGAGGCAGGTGGATCTCGGTGAGTTCGAGGCCAGCCTGGTCTACAGAGTGAGTTCCAGGACAGTCTCCAAAGCCACAGAAAAACCCTGTCTCGAAAAAATTTTTTTAGTGTGTGTGTGAGTATGAGTGAGTATAGGCACATGCATACCTCAGTGCATATGAATTGGTTCTTTCCCAGGCACTGTAGGCTCTGGGAATTGAATTCAGATCATCAGACTTGCACAGTAACTCCTTTATCCATTATGCTATCTCACCAGTCCTGGAGGGGCCATAGTGAAATTGCTCAATGTAGTGACTCAGGACAAGAGTCTACTTTATTTCATGGATTTGGGCTATATCTCCATATAGTAGGAAAGAACATATTTGAGTTTGGTTTGAGTTGTCATGTGAATTTTTATGCAGGACTTTTATGCTCTAATACAAGCTTCAGATGCAGTGTGTATATAATGGGATATGGATATCTGTCTGGGCTGATGTGCTTAGGGTATTTGATGTGTTTCCAAAGACTTCATGTCCTTAGATAGGATTATAGTTCTTCTTTTCTAATGCTGTCTTCAAAGCTTGTCTCTGTTTGTCTATAGCACTGAAAGCATTTTTGTGTTTGTTTAACAAATGGGCCATGAGAAAGAACAGATTGTTGTTTATTGTATCCCTGGTTCTTAGGACTTGCAAGTAGTTGTTGATAGGATTACTGTGTTTTCTGGGCTTCAGTTCTATTTGACACTACAAAGTTTTGTTGTTTACTCCCTTTCTAGCGCTCCAACAGCCGACAGTTCATCGATGGTCCTCCTGGTCCTGTAAAGAAAACCTGTTCCATTGGCTCTACAGTAGACCAGGTGAGAGGGGTCAGAGCCAGAGAACTGGGGTCCCAAATGCACTGGGGGTTAGTGGCTCTGAACAATAAGGTGACAGTCAGTATTATTACAGTATTATTTTAAGAGACGTTTGAGTGTTTTTCTATGTAGTAAGAACCTCTATTGTCCATGCAAGTGGGCTTTGATTAAGAACTATCATTGGTACACACCTTTAATCTTAGCACTCTGGAGGCAGAGACAGGTGAATATCTGTGAATCTGGGGCCAGTCTGGTCTAACATAGTTCCAGGACAGCCAGAGCTAAATATCGACATCCTGTTCCAAAGTAAATAAGAAAAAAAAAAAAATCAGAACTGTCAGCTCTAGGTTTGATTGTATTTTGCTGTATATATCTTCCTGCAGTGTGTGAGATTTTTGACTTAAGGGTTAGGATTGGAATATAAGTGTTAACACAGAATTTGGGGATTTTTAGTTACTGGAAAATACCTGTAGAGAAACAGCCTGTTTATCTTTCTTTTATTATGACTTCATTCAGGCAAATGAATCAATAGTTGCAAAAACTACAGTGACTGTTCCGAGTGATGGTGGACCCATTGAAGCTGTATCTACTATTGAGACATTGCCAGCTTGGACCAGGAGTCGGGGGAAATCAGGTCTGGTGAATTTATGGCTAAATTTCATCATTGTCTCTAGAAAGCTGGCTGTGGAGGCTCGTGTTGTAATTTAATCTCTTGGAAGCAGAGACAGGCAGGTAGATTGAATTGGAGGGCAGCCTAGACTTCATAGTGAGTTCAAGGTCAACCAGTGGATACATGGTGAGACCAAAAAACAGAAAGAGGGACTGGTGAGATGGCTTAGTATTAGCTACTCTTGGAAAGGATGCAGACTTGGTTCCTAGTGTACAAATGGTGGCTCAAACTATCTGTAACTCCAGACAGGGAATCTGACATCTCTTTCTGGCCTCCTTGGGCACTACAAGCATGTGATTCACAGGTTCATTCAAGGAAACACTCATACACATAATTAATAAAATCTCAAAAAAAATTAAAAAGGAGGAAAGAAAGAAAGAAAGAAAGAAAAGCCAGGTGTGGTGTCTCATGTCTGAAAGGATCCACTCAGGTTCTGAGACAGGAAGATCAAATAGTTTGAAGCCAGCCTTGGCTACCAAAACCAAGTATGAATAAATAAATAATACTGGTTGACATTGAGAGTGGGTTTCTTAGAAGCCTCTTGAGACAGTTGAGCCATAGTGGAGAAGTTCTTACTACTTGCTTACTGTTTCTCTGGCGTGTGTGCTTGCTTCTGGGTGGCTAGTCAGTCTGGGTGTACCACTAGTGGAGAATTGGTGCTTTTCCCACACAGTTTCTTAAAATTCAGAAGGATGAAGACTTTTGGGACAGAAGTTTAAGTTTGATTGTTTTCTAGGTCCTTTACAACCTGTGAACAGTGACTCCGCGCTGAACAGCAGGCCTCTGGAGACAAGAACCGAGACAGACAGTTCAGGCACACCTCACAATAATGGAGGCATGCGCCTACATGACTTTGTCTCAAAGACGGTAAATCTGGGATGGCTGCATTTCCTTTGAGCTAATTAGTTTGTTTTTTGGAAATAAATTCATTCTTTGTAGCCCAGGTTGGCTTCTAGCTCTGTTGTGCCTCCTGCCTTAACCTCCCAAATGCTGGATGTACAGGGCCTCACTGCCACTCCTATTTATTTATCTTTGTATTTGGAGGGAGCAGAGGGAATTGTTTCTTTTTTTCTTTTTTTTCTTTTTTCTTTTTTTTGTTTTTCGAGACAGGGTTTCTCTGTGGCTTTGGAGGCTGTCCTGGAACTCGCTTGGTAGTCTAGGCTGGTCTCGAACTTACAGAGATCCGCCTGCCTCTGCCTCCCGAGTGCTGGGATTAAAGGCGTGCGCCACTAACGCCCGGCTGGGAATTGTTTCTTTTTATTGAGCTTATTTGTTTGTTTGCTTTCAAGACAGGGTTTCTCTGTATAGCCTTGATTGTCTTGGAACTTGCTCTGTAGACCAGGCTAGCCTTGAACTCACAGAGATCCTCCTGCCTTTGTCTCCTACGTACTGGAATTAAAGGCATGAGCCACCATGTCCAATAGACCGCTGCTGTTCTTATAATGAAGCAAACAAGACCTATTTTTCAGAATTTTTTGTGGGAATTGCATTAAAATGTGTAATGACCTAAAAAGTTGCTTTGTACGTACTGTATGCTTACTACATATGGTTGACAATAACTTTGTTAATTCATATCATTCTACTGCTTCTGCCCTATTTTATCTTTAGGTTATTAAGCCTGAATCTTGTGTTCCCTGTGGAAAGCGAATCAAATTTGGGAAGCTGTCTCTGAAGTGTCGAGACTGCCGTTTGGTCTCTCACCCAGAATGTCGGGATAGATGTCCCCTTCCCTGCATTTCTCCCCTGGTGGGAACTCCAGTTAAGATTGGAGAGGTAAGACTCATGGGAGCCACCTGTCACTTGTTTCTTCTTTAGTCTTTCAAAGGCATAGTCAGTTTTTATTTTAAAATTACTGATATTGAGCTGGGCAGAGCTCAGGAGGCAGAGGCAGGCGGATCTCTGAGTTCGAGACCAGCTTGGTCTACAAAAGCTAGTTCCAGGACAGCCTCCAAAGCCGCAGAGAAACCTTGTCTCAAAAAACAAAACAAAAACAACAAAACAATTATTGATATTAAATAAAATTTCCCTTCATGAAAAATGAAAATGTTGACCTGTGGTAGAATCTTGTTTGGGTTTCTCTGTTTAATAACCTTTCTACATAAAGTCCCTCTCCGTTCTCCCTCCTCCTTTCCTCCCTTCTCTTCCTTCTCCCTCCTTCTTCCTCTTCCCTTTCTTACAGCTAACCCCTGGTTCTTACCACTTTACAATCGTAAACTCACAGCCATTTTTTTTTTGTTTGTTTGTTTTTGTTTTTGTTTTTTCAAGACAGAGTTTCTCTATATTGTTTTGGAGCCTGTCCTGGAACTCGCTGTGTAGACCAGGCTAGCCTTGAACTCACAGAGGTCCGCCTGCCTCTGCCTCTGGAGTGCTGGGATTAAAGGCGTGCTCCACCAACTCCCGGCTAGGTTTGCATTTTGTTGAGTACAAAACTAAAGTAGGCCCAGAAAAGATATGAGTGATCAAAGATTTATTATCTATAGTAGACAAGCTGAATACTGGGATCAAGTTTTCTCTGAACAAAGAAAAATGGAGATTTAGGGAGTCTATACATGACCACCTTGGGGGTCAGCTCATTCCATAAGCACCCTGAATTAAGGGATGTATTCCCGACCATACTCTGTTCAAGGAAAAAAATAATAGAAGATACATTTTTTGGGGGTGTGCTTCATTCAAAGTCATGATGCACTTATGGAAAAGATTTAAGTATGGTTAAGAGTGTTTGCTGCTGGTGAGGTGTTGGTGGTGCACGCCTTTAATCCCAGCACTCTGGAGGCAGAGGCAGGTGGATTTTTATGAGTTTGAGGCTGGCCTGGTCTACAGGACAAGTTCCAGGACAGCCTCCAAAGCTACAGAGAAACCCTGTCTCAAAAAACCAAAACAACAACAAAAAAGAGCATTTGCTGCTCTTGTGGAGGGCCCATGTTTAGTGGCTCATAACTGCCTGTACCCCAGTTTCAGAGACTCTAGTACTCTGGCTTTTGTGTTTGTACTTGCACACAATATACACATACATACACAGAATTAAAAACAATAAAATGATTTTCTGTTTTGGTATTAAAATGATGGAAATGCCTCTGGACATGCTCAGTTTGCCCTGTAAAGTTTTAGCTGAAAATAAAAGAAAGGGGTACTACAATGGTTCATCTAAATAATACATGTTTGCCTCCCTTGCTCAGTTGCTAACAGATGCAGGTTTCTGTGACTAAACATGGTTCTGTCACCTTATTATGAATGTATAAGGCCAAAACCCAAGTTTTCCTTCTTCTTCTTCTTCTTTTTTTTTTTTTTGTTTGTTTTGTTTTTTGAGGCAGGGTTTCTCTGTGGCTTTGGAGGCTATCCTGGAACTCGCTCTGTAGACCAGGCTGGCCTCGAACTCACAGAGATCTGCCTGCCTCTGCCTCCCGAGTGCTGGGATTAAAGGCGTGCACCACCAACGCCCGGCTTCCTTCTTCTTTTTTTAAATGAGCAAATTTTGTTCTTAATCAGGGGACTAGAGGTGGTTCAGCAGTTAAGACCACAGGTTGCTCTTCTAGAGGACTCAGGTTGGATACATGGCAGCTCAGAATTGTCTGTAATTCTAGTTCCAGGGGAATCTAATTCCTTCTGCTTCTGAGGGCCCTGCATGCACATGACGCACATACATGCATCCAGGCAAAATATTCATACACATAGCATAGATCTAAAAGGTATTGGAAGAATTTACATCAGTGCACTTTTGGTTTTTATAGACAGGATTTTCTGTAAACCTGGGTGTTCTGGAATTCTCTCTATAGACCATATTGTCCTTGAAGTCTGAGATCCACCTGCTTCTCCTGGATTACAGTCTGTGCCATCACACCCAGCCCATAGCTGTAATCTCTTCATTGCTTTCTCTTGTCTTTGAGTAAAAGAAAAGGAAGTACTTATAGTTGGTGGCATCATTACTTGCTCATGAAAAGGTGTGGTTTGTATAAATCAGTAGCAGCATGAAGGTAGGAAAAGTGACCAAGACCAAGGCTTTTGTTTTGAGACAGGATAGGATCTCTTGCAGCCGAGGATAGCCTCAAACTTACTATGTAATCTAAGATAACTTTGAAACTATAGTCCTCCTGCTCCTGTCTCCAGAGCTGGGATAACAGGCATGAACCACCATATCCAGTGTATGAATTGGTAGGGGCCAAAACCAAGGCCTCATGTATGCTAGGCATGCATTCTACTAGCCAAGCCATACTCCATTCCTACAAGACTTTTTTGTTTTGTTTTTCGAGACAGGGTTTCGCTGTGTTGCTTTGGAGTCTTCCTGGCACTCTCTCTTTAGACCAGGCTGGCCTGGAACTCACAGAGATCTGCCTGCCTCTGCCTCCCGAGTGCTGGGACTAAAGGCGTGTGCCACCAATGCCTGGTGCCCCTACAAGACTTTTTAAAAAATTTATTATTATTATTTAAACTGTATGGGGTGGGGTATGTGCAAATGAGTTCAGGTACCTCTGGAGGCCAGAGATGTCAGATTCTCCTGGAGCTGGAGTTATAGGTGGTTGTGTGCCACTTGGTGTGGGGGTACTGGGGAGTGAACTCGGGTCCTCTGTGAGAAGTTTCATGCTATCTCAGCGCCTGTGGTGGTTTGAAAGAAAATGGCCCCTAAAGTGAGTGGCACTATTAGGAGGTGTGGCCTTGTTGGAGTAGGTGTGGTTTTGTTGGAGGAAGTTTGTATGGTACTGTGGAGTCGGGCTTTGAGGCCTCATATATGCTCAAGCCTTGTCCAGTAAGAGAGACTACTTCCTGCTGCCACCATGTCTGCCTGCACGTCACCATGCTCCTCACCACGATGATAATAGACTGAACTTCTGAAATTGTAAGCTACCACATCAGTTAAATGTTTTCCTTTATAAGAGTTGCTGTGAGCCGGGCGTTGGTGGCGCACGCCTTTAATCCCAGCACTCGGGAGGCAGAGACAGGCGGGTCTCTGTGAGTTCGAGGCCAGTCTGGTCTACAGAGCGAGTTCCAGGACAGCCTCCAAAGCCACAGAGAAACCCTGTCTCGAAAAACCAAAAAAAAAAAAAAAAAAAAAAAAAGAGTTGCTGTGGTCATGGTGTCTCTTCACAGCAATAGAACCCTCACTAAGACAGCCCTAAGACTATTTTAACATGTACTTTGAGAATATAAATTTAAAAGCTGATATAATGTCTTTGTGTTTAATAGCAGCTCTCTCTCTTGATCTCAGTGATGTAAGAAATAAAGACCTTTTTTCCAGGGAATGTTGGCAGATTTCGTGTCCCAGACTTCTCCAATGATTCCTGCTATTGTTGTCAGCTGTGTGAATGAGATAGAGCAGCGAGGCCTGACTGAGGTGAGAGTGCACTCCAGACAGGGGGAGCTTGTCCTTTATGTTAGTTTGGGAGTTCCTGACTAAGTGTTGTCTTTATAATAGGCAGGCTTATACAGGATCTCAGGCTGTGACCGGACAGTAAAAGAGTTGAAAGAAAGATTCCTCAAAGTGAAAACTGTACCCCTCCTCAGCAGAGTGGATGACATCCATGCCATCTGTAGCCTCCTGAAAGACTTTCTTCGAAGCCTCAAAGAACCCCTTCTGACCTTTTGGCTAAGCAAAACCTTTATGGAGGCCGCAGGTAAGGGCAGAGTTTGGTACTTGACTATGATTCTAGGACTGAACTTTGCTCACACATTTTACTACTTTCCTGCTGCCCAGTGTAGTTCCTGAAATGTAGTAGGTACTCATAGTTGGTGGGTTTTAACTATATACCTCATCATGCCTTTTTCTTCTTTAGCTATATAGAGGGTCTAAGAGATGGCTGAGTGGCTGAGCTCTGACTTCTGGAAAACCTGGGTTTGATTCCCAGCATTCATCTGAATGATGGTTGGATCGTGCCACCTGCAACTCCAGTTCAGGGAATCTGATGCCCTCTTCTGGCCTCTTTGGGTACTGCATGCAATGTAGCTCAGACTTAATGTGGGCAAAGCACCCATACATGTAAAAGGAACAGGATTTAATAGGGTTTGTTGTTGCGCTTTGCTTTTTGGTCAAGTTTTAGGTTGTTCTTTTGAGATCAGAACCATCTTTGATTCCTTTCTTTTCCACCGCAAATCTTGTCAGTAGACTTGTAAATATATCACAAGTCATGGTATTAACTGTCCCTGGAATATGCTAAGAACTGGCTGACAGATTGTCCTGTGTCTTATGCCCTCTACAAGACAATCTGTATAAGGAGCTGGCATGGTCCTTTCACATGGTAATCTCTGCAGGAGTTGGAGTGGTCCTTTTACACTCCAAATTCGTTGATGTCCCTTTTGTCATCTATCCATTTTTATTTTACCTTAGCTTTTTGTTTTTTTGAGAAACTGTGTAGCCCTGGAACTCACTCTGTAGACCAGGCTGGCCTCGGAGTCAAAGATCCACCTGCCTCTGCCTCCCAAGCGCTAGGATTAAAGGCGTGCACCACCCCCGCCAAGCTTTCCCATCAGTTTTAGACTGAGTTCATCCTTAACATGGCTGAAAAGACCCTCTGTGACTTGGCTCTTGGTTATGTCTCCAACGGCATTTTGCTTTATACCTTTCTTCCTCTTTTTGAACTCTGAAGTCTTGAATTTCTTTTTTTTTTCTTCTTTTTTTTTTTTTTTTTTTGGTTTTTAGAGACAGGTTTCTTGGTAGCTTTGGAACCTGTCCTGGAACTAGCTCTTGTAGACCAGGCTGATCTCGAACTCACAGAGATCTGCCTGCCTCTGCCTCCCGAGTGCTGGGATTAAAGGCGTACCCCACCAACGCCCGGCTTTTGGATTTCTTTTTATTTTAGCGTGTGTGTGTGTGTGTGTGTGTGTGTGTGTGTGTGTGTGTGTGTGTGTGTGTGTGTGTGTGTGTTTTGCCTGCATGTGTGTCTGGTATGTTTGTATCACATGCACACAATGCCTACATTGGCCTGAAGAGTGTGTTGGATTCCTTGGAACTGGAGTGACAAAACAGTTGTAAGTCACCATGTGGGAACTGGGAATTGAACCCAGGTCCTCTGCAAGAGTCATCTCTCCAGCCCTAAGTCTTGGATTTCTTAGCATATGCCCACCTCAAGTCCTTCCTACTTGTTGCAGTCTTAGCTCCAACTTTTTCTCCCTAGATCGCTTTGTAGTTTGCTCGTTTACTCCCCCCTCCCAGTTTCTCTTCATATATTTTGTCCTCAGAAACACTTTTCCTAGGCCCTAGCATGTGGGAGGTGAGGCAGTATTGAGACCAGCTTTGGCTGCGTGGTGAGTTTGAGACTAGACTAGGCTACCTGAGACCCATTTTCAAAAACTAAACAAAAGCTGCCTTTCTGACCACCTCATGTGAGGTGGCAGCTCCCATTGCTTTCAGTATCCGGCTTGCCCCATTTTCTTTATCTCATGTATCACTGCCTGACACATGGCTTGTTGTTTGCTTTTTGACCAGCTCTTCCAATAGTGTTCATTCCATGAGACAATGCCATTTTTTGGCTTACTTTAGCCTCACATTTGAAATAGCACCTGGTATATAGTAGGTCCTTAAATGTCGAATGAATGAGTTCCTCCTTGTTGACAGTTAGCACTGCGGTTGTATGCCTTCCCAGCACATGGGTTGCCAGCTGCTTTCTCTAACAGCAGCGGTGATTTTTAGGGAGTTCTGACTTCTCATATTGAACTGTTGGCCAGTGTCCTGCTTGTTAATGAGACTAGAGTCTGAGGCTGTCATGAACCTCATCAGAAGTTTCAGAAGCTCCATCCGTGTACAGATGAGCCTTTGTGGTCGATAACTTAGAAGCTTCTGTGAAGAGGAAGAGTCTGGGTTTCTTAGTGTTTTTTTCTCGTTACAGAGATAACAGATGAAGACAACAGCACAGCCGCCATGTACCAGGCTGTCAGTGAGCTGCCCCAGGCCAACAGGGACACATTAGCCTTCCTCATGATCCACTTGCAAAGGTCAGCACAGCAGGACTTGTCTTGGGAGCTAGGGGGCTTCCCATGGAGAAGGTAGCATGGGTACTGGGAAGTGTGGCCTGTGAATGTTCCCTTACAGATGTATATTTTGGGTTATATTTAAGGGAATATGTTTTTTTAACTTGATATACTCTTTTGTTTAGAGTGGCTCAGAGCCCGAGCACTAAGATGGATATTGCCAACCTAGCTAAAATCTTTGGCCCTACAATAGTTGCCCATACTGTGCCTAATCCAGACCCAGTGACAATGTTCCAGGACATCAAGCGTCAACTCAAGGTAGGGGTGCAAGTGCTTAAGCAGGCACATATGCAGAAATACGTAAAATACCAGATTTTACAATGTGCTAACATGGCATAATGACAGAAAATAACCCTTGCATGCTGAGTACATGCATGGGCAGGTTGTGCCAGGAGGATTGCCACAGGTTTGAGGTCAGCCTGGTCTACATTTCAAGTTCTAGGCTAGTCTGAACTGCAGGCTGAGACTGCCTGGGAAGCATAACAAGAAGGAATACATGAAGTAAGCCTTGACTTTGGTGCCTTAGGTGGTGGAGCGCCTGCTGTCTCTGCCCCTGGAGTACTGGAATCAGTTCATGATGGTGGAACAAGAGAACATTGACATCCAGCGTGGCAATGGAAACTCAACACCACGGACGCCAGACATTAAAGGTCAGTTCTGCACTGTGCTTGCTTTTTGGGGGCTTGACCATGTGCTTATTTACCTGAGTTTGCTCCAACTGTTTGGAATATACTGGACTGGGTGTGGTAATGAGCACTTGCAGTCCTAACACTAGGGAAGTGAAGGCAAGAGGATCAGAGTTTAACGTCTCCACTACATACTGAGTTCAGGACCATTCTGGTTTACAGGAGACCCCTTTCCCAACTCCTCTAAGCAGCCCCCACAAACATTTTGTTCATCTTGAAGATTCTAGCAGTTTTTTATAGTTAGAAATATCACTGCACCTAGCATCATGAATACACCCTAAGGGTTAATTCCCATCTTAGGTTTGCTAGTGTGTTTTACTGCTCAGTTTTAGTTTTGAAAATTGTTAATTTTATGTCTGTGGGTACATTTGTGGAGGTGAGAGGACAACTTGAAGGGAGTGGTTCTCTCCTGCCACCACGTGAGTCCCAGGGATGGAACCTGTTGCCGTTGCCCATGAGCCATCTCACTGGCTTCCCATTAGATTCCTTTATGACGTTTGCCATTTATGCTGCCCCTAGCAATTTTATGTGAGTAGAATCATTTTATTCCCACCACATAGACATATGAAAAGTTTCTTTTTAAGAAAATTGTCTTGTTCTAATATATGTGAAAGTCAAATATTCAGGTGTTAGATGTCTGAAGTTTGGTGCTTGAGAATGGTGTGAACCAGAGAGTGAATGTCAGCCATTCATTGAGTAGTTGGCCTGCGTAGTTCAGAAGATTCAGGAGTGAGTTACAGAACAAGGGCTAGAATGATCTGTGAACCTTCAGAAGGTAGTCAGCATAAACATCCATCTTGACACTTAAAATGTCACTCGCTTAAAAAAACGTGTCTGAATTTTACTTGAAGTGAGCTTCCTGGGGCCTGTGACCACTCCTGAATTCCAACTTGTCAAGACTCCTGTATCAAGTTCCCTGTCACAGAGATTGTACAACCTCTCCAAGAGCACTCCCAGGTATGCGGAAGTGTGTGAGTGTGTGTGTGGGATCATATGTGAATCACAGCAGCATACTAAGGTCAGAACATACCCTGTAGGAGTCAACTCTCATACTGTGTGGTTCTTGGGAATTGAACTCAGGCCTTCAGGTTTTGGAGCAATAGTTTATTGAAGCTAGACACAGTGATGTATGTGCCTGCAGTCTCAACAATCCTAGCATTTAGGAGGCTGACACAGGAGAATTGCCATGAGTACAAGGCCAGCCAGGACTATATAGTAAGGCCTTATCTAAAAAAAATAAATGAAAGCTGGGCGGTGGTGGCACACACCTTTAATCCCAGCACTCGGGAGGCAGAGGCAGGAGGATCTCTGTGAGTTCGAGGCCTGGCTGGACCGACAGCCTCGAAAACAATACAGAGAAACCCTGTCTCGTAAAAACCAAAAAGAAAATAATTGAACTTGAAGTAATTAGACGTTAAAGGAAACTTCCTGTAGAGTCTGAATGAAGCTCTCCACTGTGATCCGTCATATTAGGTGATCAATAGCACCTTTAAATAGCTCTCTAGAAGTTTCCTGTATTTAGTTCTTTATATCAAGTAACATTATAATTCATTATAATTGTTTATCCAATATTTTTATAGAATACTTTTTTTTTTTTTTTGTATTTCAAGAAAGGGTTTCTCTGTGGCTTTGGAGGCTGTCCTGGAACTAGGTCTTGTAGACCAGGCTGTCCTCGAACACACAGAGATCCACCTGCCTCTGCCTCCCAAGTGCTGGGATTAAAGGCGTGCGCCACCAACGCCCAGCTAGAATACTTTTTAAAAAATGTGTATTTGTGAGCATGTGCATGATGTGTGTATGGGTGTGTATACCATGGCACCTATGTCGGGGGCAGCTCTGTGGAGTTGGTTCCTCCCTTCTACCTTTATGTGGGCTCCAGGAATGGAACTCAAGTCTCCATGTTTAAACAGAGCATGCCTTTCCTCATGGCACCTTCTTACCAGCTCTGTAGAATACTTCTGATTCATTCTCTCTAATTTGTGTTTTAGATTCGGGAACAAAAGCAAGTCGGCCACCAACTTAGGTCAACAAAGCAAATTTTTTCCTGCTCCATACCTCAAGTAAAGCCATTTCTGCCCAGTGTCCCAGCATTTACTACCCACAGGACACAGCTGTTTGTTCTGCAGCCTCCTGTGCAATTAGTACTTTTAGCCTTTTCCAGGCTTTAAATAAAGTTTCATGTGCATGAGTTTATTATTATGTAGCCCTTCTCGCCTCTGCTGACTTAGCAGCACTCTTTAGTTGTTGGCATCTTTACTAGGGTGGAAGGGCAGTAGGCATTGGTTGTGACTCTTTGCGGGGATCCCTTTGGCTTAAAAGCCAGATAGATACTGCTCATAAGATGACTTTCCTTTGGTGTCACTTAGACAATTATGGAAAACTGAGTTGTCTCAGGACAAGAAGTTGTAGGACAGAACAAATGGACAGAGGGTTCAGGAAGAGGCCCCTTCTCAGAACCCAGCCCCCATGCTCCTTTAGAAACCAAGCTGTGGCATGGAGCCCTCAGTGGGCTAGATTGAGTGTGCTTTGATTTCATTTGGGTTCACAGGTCTGTGTTGTAGAAAGGGCCGCAGTCTGCGATGCTACACCTCATAGTTTGTAGTTGGCTTCTGGACAGGTTTTTGGAGTTGATTGGGGTAAAAGCCAGATTGATCTAAAGCTAAATTCATTCTGGTGAGTGACCCTCTTGTTCTGTTTTAAAAAGTCAGTGTGCAAGTCAGCTAGCAATTCAGAAGACGCTCACCGTTCTCACGTGGCAGAGCAGCTAGTTGTTTCTGTCTTTGCACTTTGGTTGGTGAACTTTTCCCGTGACGCAGACGCATGTAGGTGAATGTTGGCTTTTTGATTAGCATTTTCCTAGGATCTAAATGGCTTCCTTCCCTAGGATGTTTTCTGACTCATACTCTTATTTGTAAGACACGTATTTGGAATATGATATGGAAAAAAATAAATAGTTTTTTCAAAACGAATGTGATGTTGGTTTTCTTATCCAGGATGGTAATGTAACCTTCAGCACCTTTCAGAAAATGTCTTCCCTTCAAGTGTTGTTTGTTGTCACCTCTACTTCCACCTGAACCTTATGTCTACCTGAGGACTTTTTTCTCCCTTTTTTATTAAGTCTTTTTCTAAACTGAATCCTAGATTTGTTATCTTCTTGTTTGAAGAAAGCATTTTAGACAAAAAATAAAAATTTTAAACTAGTCTTTAGGGATCAGAATGGTGCAGAGTTAAAGAAAAAAATTGTGGCTGGCTGGCTGCCTGGAACATCCTTCGCTGCTGGAAGTGACTCTGGAGTGAGCTGGGATGATTAACTGAGGGCACCTGCACTTAGAACTCTGAGGCTGGTGAACAGAATGTATCTAAGATTGAACGCAAACAGTTGCAGGCTTAATATGTAACAGTGGAGAGAGGAGGCAGCCTATTGGCTTTTTCCCAGGAGGGGGCAGCTCTCACAGCAGGGCCCATCTGCCTCAGCAAATTGACAGAAGATGGGTCCCATCTCCAGGCTCCCTCCTCACACATGCCTGCTAGGCTTTTTTTTTTAAAACTTCGTCCTAGATGGTACCTCATCTTGTGTCTTTGCAAGCTTCAGATTGGCCTGGCTCCACATTTGCTGTTCTGTAGCATCCCTCCAAGGTACACTTGAAGTCACTAATGTAGAGGAAGTAAATGGATTGTGTGGTGTTAGTGAAGGCAAGACTACCCTGTGCAGGAATTGATGGCCCGTTGATGAAAAAGGAAATGGTTTTGTGTGTCAGTTGTTGGCAGCCAGTTGCTCAGGTTTTGAGCTAAGCCAAGAGACCTTAACCATGAAAGTAATTCTGATTCTAGCAAAGGGAATGTACCTACTTTCAGCTTCAGCAGTACTTCACATCTGACAGCTTGACTATCAAGGGCCTTTTTAATTAAAGGGATCCAGGGCTTTGATCCTTATCTTCTGCTTCTAACGCTTTCTCACACTGCTTCTTCATCCGCCTTGTTTTAGACCATGTCTCACTGTGGCCCAGGCTGGCCTAGAATTACCTCAACTTTGATGTCATTTATCTTTGATGCTAAAAACTGAGAAACTTTGTTTTTATTTATTTCGGAGGTAGTGTTACACTATATATCCCTGGAACTTGCTGTATAGACTAGGCTGCCCTAATGGCTGTCCTATTGTCCTGGAATTCCAAGTTCTGTAACTATAGACATGAGCCACTATACCAAGGCTAACAGAAATCTTTAAATCTTAAATCTCAATTTATGCACAATTCCCTAGTGATATTTACTTAACTAGGCAAGCATTACCTGGTTTGATTCAACAGCAACCATTTGTGTTTATTGCTGGGTGTTTAACTTATTTTTCCTTAAGATGATTTTGTATCTGGTCTTGATGGTGGCAAACGCCTCTAATCCCAGCACTTGTGAGGCAGTGGCAGGTAGATCTCTTGTGAGTTCAAGGCCATCCTGGTCTACATAGGGAATTACAAGATAGCCAAGGCTATGTAGAGGGACCCAACCAACGAAAAGGCTGAATTTAATTTCAGTAGTCAGAAGGCAGAGGCAGGTGGACCCGATTTCCAGACCAGACAGCTGCATAGTGATACTACCTGAAAAGGGAGAAAAGAAAGTAGAAATAGAAAGCATTGAGTTTTATTACCATTAGGATGTGCAGCTGCTTTGCCAGAGAAGAAAGTAATTTTTGATGTGAAGTAAAAATGTGCCAATGCAAGGAAGGGCTTCTTCATTTCTTCTTGCTTAAATTATTAGGCAGCCACAGGTGACAGGCAGGTGTAACAACTTGTGTACATTATTCTACATATACAATGTGCCCAGTGTGGGCTGTTTTACCCATGCATATGTGCATAGCCTCATATATTATTCTATACATGCAGTGTGCCCAATGTGGACTGTTGTACTCTAGTATCTGTGTGTAGCTGCATACATTATTTTTATTTATTTATAAATTTTTTAAAGGCAGGGTTTCTCTGTGCAGCTTTGGGTCCTGTCCTGGACCAGGCTGGTCTCCAACTCAAAGAGATCCGCCTGCCTCTGCCTCCTGAGTGTTAGGACTAAAGGTATACGCCACCACCACCCGGCTGCATATATTATTATACGTATACAATGTACATTTGGAATGTACAGTTGTGTTTGGAAAACTGGTATTCTTAATGGTGAGTTATTTTTTTTCCTAGGGCTTTCAACATGAATGGGAAAGAGGTATTATGGAGGTCTAGGTTTGAGGAGTGTGATTACAGTCAGCTCAACTCACATAGTAGGTTCTCAGCCATTGTACTTTAATATGGTCTTGGTGATGATATGACTTTAGCCATCAGGGTACAGAGAAAACTCAAGCCTGTAGAACTGGGCCTATTAGCATTATGCTTCTAGTGTACACAGAGTTTAGAGAGTGACCACTTAACCTAAGAACTTGGTAAATTTTTAAAATATGCTCCCTGTAACTGGTATATTTTGTAAACAGTGGAAGGCACCAAGCCAGGAGCTACCTAGCTTATGTAGTCCATTAGACCTTGACTCTCAGAACCATATTTGTTGATGGTTTCTATTCATGAAGTCAGGTGGAAGACAGCCAACATCACCAGGAATAACCTTGTAGTGTGTGAGAGCTTTGTCCTCTGTGGTCACATAGGATGGGAAAGAAGGCCACTTTGGGGACTCATAGTTGGAAGTGGGGACCTGTTTGTTTGTCTTTTGTTCATTTTTGGTTGTGAGATGGGGTCTCGGGTAGCTCACACTGGTTTCAAAACTTGCAGTGTAGAAGGATGACCTTGACCTTGCAGTAGTCCTGCTTCCACATCCAGAGTGCTGGGATTGCAGCTATGCACTTTCTACCACAGCAGGTTATGTGGTGCTAGGGCGCAAACCTGGGCTTTCCTGTGCGCACGTGCTGTAGGCAGCCACTCTCCCGACTGAACCAAATCCCTAGCCCTCATTTTGTTTTCATCATACACTGCCATACCCCACACAGTTGACCACCCTGGCTCAGACACAAATGGGTGTGTAGGCTTTGGATAAGGCAGTTGTCAGATATTCCTGCTCATCACTGAAATTATGAACATATTCTCCATAAAATCTCTAGGACTTAAAAATACTTATTAAAGATTTATTTATTTTGTGTTTTGAATGTTGGCCAGCATGTATGTGCACACACTAGGTACACACTGTGTGCATGCAGCTGCCTCCTGAGGCCAGGAGAGGATGTCAGATTCCCTGCAAATGGGACTGCAGGTGGTTGTTCGTCACTTGTGGAAACTGGGAATGCTACCTTATCTTCTGCAATAGCAGCAAATGCTCTTAACTGCTGAGCCATCTCTCCAAGCCTCTAGGACACTTAATATAGTGATTAATCCCATTCCTGTACTATTACTTACTTGACCTCACCACACCCCGTGAGAGCAGAAGGATGGGTGGTATGTCCCAGTTGGTAAATCCAGTAAGATGATTTGGCTCAAATGTCTACAAACTGTAGTTTATCTGGGATTAGAATTTAGGGATTCCAGCTCTTAGCCTAGTGTCAGCAATTGTAGATGCTATTGCTAACTTCTTATTAGTAGAGTCCTGCTAATGGTATTTAATACATAATAGTTTAAATTGCCTTTGCTTAGGCCCAATATTATCTGTATCCCCACATGGTCAAATAAAGCTTTGGGCTTAGTGCACATTTTTTGGCCATTTCAAGGCTTGCCTGAGATTGTGAGTTCTGGGCCAGCCTGGGCAACTTAATGAGACCATGTCTCGAAATTTAAAATTAAGAAACAGGGCTTGCCCGGGCGTTGGTGGCGCACGCCTTTAATCCCAGCACTCGGGAGACAGAGACAGGTGGATCTCTGAGTTTGAGGCCAGCCTGGTCTACAAAGCAAGTTCCAGGACAGCTTCCAAGAAACCCTGTCTCGAAAAAAAAAAAAGAAAAGAAAAAAAAAAAAAAAGAGGGCTTGACCAGCCTGTGTGAAGACTCAGTGGTTCAATCCTCAAAATTGCCAAAAACAAAACCAAACCAAAAAAAAAAAATCCGAGCAAATAGAGCTGTAGTGAAGGCTAGGGAGGTGGCTCAGGGTTAACAGAATTTAGTGAAGGGCTAGGGACGTGGCTCAGGGTTAACAGAACTGGCCGGTCTTCCAAGGGACTTGGCTTCCATTCCCAGGATCTACACAATGACTTAGAGCTATCGTTAACTCCAGTTTCGGGGGCCTCTGAGGGCAACAGGGACATGTGTACACAGACATACTTTCAGACAAAGCACCCACGTACATTAAACAGACAAAAAGCTGTAGTAAGAAGTGGTCAGTGACCATTTATATTTCAGAATTTTCCCTTCCCATCATTATAAGAACTTATTTGAGACGAGGTCTCACCTCTGAGCCAAAGTGATGCTGCCATGCTCAGCTTTGTAAGTCACACCCAGCCTAGAGTCAGGATACAGTGAAAGCTGTATGTGGATATAGCTCAGTAAGTTTGAGGGCAGCCCACCCTGCAGGGACAGAGGATTGGGACAGATTTCCTACTGGTTGGGGTATTGCACAGCAGATTGGAGGACTTGATCTTGGTGGTCCTGGCTGTTTTCTGTATGGGACGGGGAGAATGAACAGATGTGAGCACATGGGGTTAGTCCTGGTGGTGGTCTGTTCTCAGACCACCCATGTGCGGCCTCTGCTATGAAGCTGAAAGCCAAAGACAGACAAGTCTGAGCCAGGCTATCAGCCAGTGGATTAGCTCTTTGGCTTTCCCTCTGAGTGGCATTAGCTCTCACTCCAACTCATGTTTACCATCTGGCTTTGAGTAAAACGTCTTGGAGTGCTCTCTTCAGCAGCCTGTGCTGTGCCAGGACTTTCTGAGGGTTGCTCAGCGTTCCTCTCATCAACCCTGAGGCCCAGTGCTCTCCACAAAGTCATCAGTCTGTTGTGCCCACATGTGTGCCTGCCTGGCTTCAGAAGAATTCCTTAGACCTTAGAGGGGGAAATGAGCTTCAAGC